TTTGAAAATCGAAATTAATAATTCTATTCCATTCTAATCAAATTTTTTTCTTGTAAAAATTTAGTAATTTAAAATATCTAATTTTAGTCTTAAAATTGATAAAATTGGCAATTAGATTGATAAAATTTATTGATCTTTTTCTAAAAATTTGGTAATGAAAATGTTTGTAATGAAAATGATAATTATAATAATAGATAATTCTCTTCTAAAACACTCTATAGTTTATAGTCAAGTGTATATGGTTAGTTCATATGGCGCACAGAAAATTATGAATATTTTATGAACATTTAGTGAGCTTGAGAGATTAACGATGATGAAAGTATATATGTACAAACGTATTTTTTTTACGTTTTTGGAATATATTGAATAAGAATTTTCGTCGAATGTTATATATATACGAATACTTATAAGATGTTCTAGCTTAAGTAATCATTTTTAATCTCAAGTCTTTCATTTCTTTAATATTTTTCCGATATAATTGTCTTTTACTATTCTAATTTATAAGAAAAGAATAATAGCAATTATCTCTTTCTTTGAAATTAGAATTTAGAAAATGATACATAGAATGTAAAATAATTTGAGAGATTGTTTGGAGAAATATTCTGTGACAAAGATATCATTTGGACATATATTTTATTCTCAGAATTTATATACATTTTAAATTTTTATTGTTTAATCATAAAATTAATATTGGATTCTTCTTTAAAAAAATTTGAAGAATTATTTTAGAAAACATTCAAAAATTTTGAAATATTTAATAAATTTTAAAAAATTCTATCAATAAATATTCTAAATAAAATGGATTTTATTTTTAGTACTTATAAAGTACTGATATACTTTATAATATACTCAAACTTATTGCTATTAAATTGAATACTTTAAAAATCCTTTAAATTACATCTTTCATCTTATTTTAATCTCTTAATTAATTTTAATCTCTATTATTATTATGTATTAAGTTTAAAAATTTTTTTAAACCATCCTCCTAAACGATCTATCAGAAAAATTTTTACATTTGCTCTAGGAGTTTATATGATATATGTATACAACGGGAAAAGCTTCGAATATAGATTGAATTAATGTATTTAGTACTTAATGTAGTTAAAAAGATGCTACGAAAAAAGAATGCTCAATTTAAATAATTATTGCAACGATCTCCGCATATTATTACGCAGTGCTATGATTATATTGCTTTAACATTGCAACTGTGTGTGATAGTATGAATGGTTGATTCAATTGATAGAAAGTAATATTAATAACAAGACGATTGTATTTCCGACGCATTATATTCTTTTATTTTTCTATATAATATATAACTTTATATATATATATATGTATATATAAAACTTTATATATATATATATATACACACCAACTAAAGAAATTACAATAGAAAATAATATTCATACTGAACCTATTAAAAAACTGTCTTTAATTTTCTTTAAAATATTCTATATTTTTCAATTTTGGAAAAATTATATTATTAAAAAGAAATATAAAAAAAAATCAGTATTTTTCAATCAACTATCTTAAATATATAACTCATTTAAATAATTTCTATAAACTTAATAATATTCCATATAACAATATTAATTTTTATTATATTCATATTCTTCACAACAAATATATTATGCAAAAAATGAATACTATATCATAAACACAAAAAAACATTTAAGTAAAATCTACAAATCAATCATATTGATTCTCACAATTATAAAAATTTAAAATAACATCTATAAAAATAATTCCTTCTAAATATTTCAATATATTATATTATTTTATTTTGATAACAATAACTCTTCATGTAACTTTTTAATTTTAATTTCCATCAAATTTTTTTATTAAATTATTTAAATTAAACAAATTAAGATTTAATTTTTTTACAATAATAATAATAAAAATTGATATAATATATATCTTTAATAGATTACATATGTTTATATAAGATATCATAATTTTTATTGATAGAGATTAATCACAAAAGTAAACAATTGAATGATGAACAGATTAGAGACAGACATAAGCCTGTTAAGAGGTTAACAAGCAACACGTGTCGAAATCATGTCTACTGACCCACAACACTCCATCCTATTAGATCCAACACCTGAATCTAAATTAACTCGGTTCAAAAACGTATTATAACATAATTAGATAGCAAGTCGATCTAGGTGACAAGTAGAAACATAGATCGAGACGGTGTGCAAGTGTTCTGTGTAAGCGCGACAATATTGTCGTGCTCTCAATTTAGCTTAATCTACAGAATGTTAATATATTCGTGAGATATTTTTAGAGGATAGATTCCAAAAATTAAAATAAAACAAAAGTTGGTATATAAAAATATCAATTAAGATTTATTTATTAAGTTACAAACAATTAAAATTTGTGTTAAATGATGAAGTAAGATGAAAATAGAGCGAGACTATTCTGTCTTTGTTCCATCATTGTTGCACTCTATTTTCGCCTTGCTTCATGTAATGCTTAACTTAAATTGTTTATAACTTAATAAATAAGCAATCGATATTTTTGTATATCGACTTTTATGTTAGTTTTAGATTGACTCAGATCAACCGAAGAATCAGTTCTTTCTTTATCTTTTGTTATACAAAATATACATAAAATATACATATACATATATGCATATATAATATAGAAACGAAAGTTTAGAAATGTTTAAAAGTTTAATCTTCTTGATAAATTATCGCATTATATTATATATATTGTTAGATCATCGCTAAATAATGCAGTTTTCTTGGTATGTATATAGGTTGAAAAAATATTTGTAAAAATTTTTTAAATATTCCATTAAGAAGCTTTCAAGAAGAAAAATATAAGTTAGGAAACTTTAATAAATCTTTACATAATTTAAAATAATTTCATTTAATTTGTTTCATATTTTACATTAGTAACAATAATGATCATTAATAGTTGATTAAATAAAGTAAAATAAAATAAACATAAAATAAATTTCATAAAATTAATATTATTTGTAATTCGGCAATATCAATTGAGAATTATAATAAAATTATTATATTTCTTATAAATATAATATAAACATTCACATTGTAGTGATAATTTAACAAAATTTAAGTACCATTACTATATGCATATATACATACATACATACTTGCATGTATTCAAGAAATTTGGCTGGTGAATTAAATAGTCCTTCGCCGTGGCTTACATTCTAATTAAGGCGTCGCAACGACATTTCGAGAGAAAAAACTATGAACCATTCTGAATAATTCTTTTTTTTGTTTATTATACCCCTTGTGTTAGTTTTTAAAAATCGAATAGAATAACTTAAGAATATATATATCTATTAATTTATTAAACGATACTGACAATGAAATTTATCTAGGTTAGTGGTTCTCAATTTATGGGTCAGAACTTGTTTTATAAATTTATTAGTCTTAATTGATTTTTAATATGATTTTTATTCTAATATATCTAATTATATTATTATATTCTAAAAGATTATCACTATGATTCTTCATTATTTATTAATTTAATATTATTATTCATTAATTTAAAAATTTAAAATAATATTTCTATTTATTTCGTGTCAATAAAATTGTATTAATAGTTTAAATATTTCTTATCTTATGAGAAAATATAAATTATTTGAATATTAAAAAAAAAAACAATAGCATAATTCAATAGCAATATCGTAGGCCAGTATTTGAACTATATTTTTAATATTAAGTTATTTTATTTACATATTAAATAGTTAATTTGAATAGTTTGGCTAAAGGCAAAGATATTTTTTTTAATTTGAAATTTCAGACATATTTGAATTAAAAATTTCGCATATATATGTATTTATATACATATATATACTTGTACAGTTCATTGCCAGAATCGTTGAAGTAGATAAATATAAAATTGTTGTTTCTATACATAAATTGTGTAATATAGAAAAGTGATGATTAATACAAATGTTATTTTCTAATATACATACAATATTTCTAATATCTATACAATTTAAGGTTATTCTACTTCGAAAAGAAGAATCATATATTTATAAAAATTTATTTGCTTTTTGAATATTTGGATTCTTTTGAATTATGGATCTGAATAATAAAGCTTAAAAATTTTATGAAAAATTAGAAATTTATGAAAAATGATTTTTATGACTCTTTCTTCTTAAAAAGGAAGGATTATGAAAAATACAAACAATAGATATTTTATCGATATTTACTATTTTAATCAAATATGACACGAACATCAGAAATATACGGAAATTTCATACGATTTGAAATACACAATACAAAATATTATATTATAAAACACTGTCAATCAATTATTATATTTTATTAAAATAATAATTAAAATAACTTTTCCTTTCTTCTTGCCATTTGAAATGTACACTTACCTACGTTAAATGCTTAAAAATCTATAATATAAATATTATCAACAAATCTTACACTACAAAAACATTTTTCACACATAATAAAATTTCACAATTGCAATTTTTTTTCATTATGAAACACTTCTATCAATCTTCAATTTTCAATCAGTGAAAATTTTCGCGATTCTCTTAACCTCAAAAAACAAACTTCACTTAAAAATTTGCTCTATTTTCGTGGCTTATATTTTACGGTTATGTGTAAGCCTATTCAACATTGTTGACATTGAAACGAAGTATAAGCGGTGAATTGAAACAGTTGGACTGCGGCCATTTTAACGGAAACGATTCTTTCATCTCGATTTATCCTACATCTCTATATTGCGATATATCGATCTTTTTCTTTCTCTTTTTCTCTTTTTTCTTTTTTTCATACTTTTTTAATGATTCTCGTGAAAATGACAAAATCGGACGATAGCAATTGACGATTACTATGGCGCATCGATGGCGGAAATATTAAGACGGCGATCGAATATTTGGCGCGAATCCACCGATCGCGTGCCAACATAACACGCGCGCGCGTGTGCACGATATGCGAACTTAAGGAAAATTACAGGCTGTGCCTTGTCGATTCGCGATTTACACGCTTTAGTTTCGCTTTATGCCCGACACAGACTTCTACTGTACGTCTCGTTTTTTCTTTTTATTATTTTCGTTCGAATATATTAAAAAGATCTTTCTTTTTTTTCTTACGAAAGGAGAAAAGTGATTGGTCGATTATATCGGTAAATTAATTTCATTTGAATTCGTGTGAGTTTGATTTAATATGTGTTTTAATATATTGGAGGAATTTTATTTTTGATTGATTGAAAGTTTAAGAAAGTGGTGTAAATGAACGTTTTTCTGAGGTTTTTGTTAAAATGATAGAAACTATATAAAATATGTATTTATATTGAAAATTTGATCGATGAAATTTATTGTGAATTTGTAAATTTTTCAATCTGTTTTTGATCATTGTTGATAGTTGATTTTATTTGTGCTTTGTTTTAAACAAGTTTGTTTGAAATTTGGTGAGAAAATAAATATACGTTTCTATATTTTATTATTATATATACAGAATTTAAATTTATTAGAATTTAAATTAATTAGATAAAATAATTTATATAAATTAAAGTTTTATGTATATTTTTGGTATGAACAAAGATTTTGACATTTTGTATTATTTTTTAATAATTTTAAATATTTTTAATAATTTTGACAAGAATTATGTATATATGATTTAACTATTAATTTAAATTATTAATAACAAAATAATTTATAAAGTAACTTAGAAAATTAAATAATGGATCATATGGATAAATTATTTTATCTTTATGAAGTTAGATTTTTGATTTAAAAGATATTTTCCACAATAATAAGATAATTTAATGAAAACATTTTTATGAATGGAAATATTTATGAAAAAAATGTTAATAACACCAATTCAATTATATTTTATAAATTTTCTTTATTTTTATATATCTCGTATCACAAAAATCATAATAACTCTGTGATTTAATGTTTGAATTAATTTTAATAACACGACAACAACATTGTGCACATGTCTCATAAAGCAGTCATCGAAAACGCCATCCTGATTATATAACATTTAATTCTTGGCTAGTAAATCCGAGTAAAATAGCCACAGTTTTCATTCACTTGTTTATTGATAATGATGATCGAGACGTTTTCTGACGTTTAATCTTAATTTGGATTAAATATCGGATATTGTCGGATTATTACGAAAAAAAATTATCATTTTAGGATAAAAAGCTATGAATAATAACAACAAATCAAAGAAGATTCTATCAGGATATCAATTTTGTTGTATCAATGTATATGAAATGAAAATTATTTTTCATTTTGATACTTTTTCTTTTGTGATTTTCAAATATTTTAAATATTTTTATTTAATAAAAATATTAATTATTAATCAATAATTAATATTTTTACTAGAAATTTATTTTTTAATATCTTTTCTCCTCTTTTTTTATAATATAAAAAAATTTGTTGTTCATTAATATTTTTATATTATTCTTTTCTTTAGAATTGTAAAAAAATAATAATGTGTAAAAATTTATAAAAATTTTATTACATCGTAAATTTTAGTTTTTGTTCTTTTATTCTTCTCTAACGTGTAGGAAAACATTTTGAAACTTGAATCGTTTAATTAGATTTTCATTATTTGAATTAAATAAAATATTGTAATTTTGATCGATATATTTTATTCTCCTCTTTGTTTTATTTTTTTTTTTCCTATGTATAATACGAAGTAATTATTTGCGGGGAAAAAAATAAAAAATTAGAAAATAATTTGCAATCATCAATCAATGATTCCAATATCGAAGCAAGATATATAAAAAAAAAAAAAATAACAAACAAATAATTATTCATTCATTGTCGCTCAATTAATATCTTGATTGTTTCGATTATTCCATTTCCACAAATTGAAAATTTCATAAAAATAGCAACAAACTTGACAAACTCATTCCTCAGCCAACGACCTTCTGAAACATACTTTTCGATCTACTCATTAGAGATATTCGGTTTGGATAACAAAACCAAGATAAATCACTCCAAATATGAGGATTTTATCGACATAATTCTTTCTGTCACAATAACAATAATAATAATCTCTATCTAAAATATAAAATTAATCCCTCAAATTCGTCAGAGCGTAACGAATCTTGCTGAAAAAAAAAAAGTAGAATATTTCCAAAAAAAAAATTGATACATTTTATTAAAATTGATGATATTGTACATTACGAAAAAACGATAACATTGCTTCTTTAATTTTTGCTTTAATTTATTTATGATTTATAATCCTTATTGAATCGCGCAAGTTGCTATTTTTTTCACGATTTTTTATAATATATTGACAGTGATTAGTGATAAGTCTGGTGATATTGTTTCGTTTGCACGTTAGTGAAAAACAAAATAAATAAATAAACTGAATTAATTTATTTATGGTGTGTTTCTGGAAAATGCATACAATATCGAGACTTGATTAATTCTGTATTAACTTTTTCGAAGGTTATTTAAATAATTGACGGAAAGTAATTCGAGTTAATTCGAATTCTTGGAACGTAAACGATCTGCATTCAAATCAGTTTCGGAGCGGTAATTTCTGAAATAAGTTTGAAATAAATTAAGTAGAAAATAGTTCGGGTTAGGTTAAATTAAGTTCAAGCGCGTATAAATTTAAAATTGATCAAATTAAGATCGCTCATTTAAATGAGTTAAAAATCATTTAATAGAGTTAAGTTGTATTATATTGTGTAAAGTAGAATTTATCTTGAGAAGTGATTCAAGCTATGTTCAAATTAAATTATGTTGATCCAAATCAAGTTAAAAATTGAATCTGATTGAGTTGATCTAAGTCGCATTGTTAAAAATCGATTCGATTAAAGTTGTTATGTTGAATTATCGAAATTAAATTTAATAAATTTGAAATAAGATAGTCGAATTAAATTATGATCTATTGAATCAAATTAATCAAGATCAGATTGATTTAAATTGTATTTGGAAATAAATTTTTCAATGTATTTATATACACCATCACTTAATCTTTTAATCAAAGTTTCTCCGTTTTAAATCCCAGGTAAAAATCCAGGATTATTTCTTAATTAAGTCTAATCTCGAGCTTCATCAACACTGACTCTATTTGTAATTCCATTCTAATTCAATTTGCTCACACGTCAATCTCCATACTTAATCTATATTATTTTACAGATAACTCGTTTATAGACACATTTGATAAAACTTTCTTAGATCGTTCATTCAGAGTTAGATCACGAAAGTTTTCGTTGTTATTCGATCTATTCATTTGATAAGCGTGTTTACGTCTAATTAATTTGATGACACGGGTTTACGCCTCGACTGATTTTATCTTTCAAATAGTTATCTCGTCTAGGTCAATTGGACTTAAAATAATATGATATACGACTAAATATTTTTCTTCTCTTTGCCAATAATGTTGCATGTTTAACTTTATCCATTGTTTCTCTTTCTTTTAAAATCAAAAAAACAACAATTTCACTTTTATTAAATTTTCTTTTCGAACATTTTTAATTATTGGAGGATAAAGTTCATGTAATAGAATAACAAATGGTATACAATTAAAAATGGGCAATATTGTTCGATGTTATAATCATTTCTTTTCAATTTTTATCAAAAGAAATATTTTAATAAAATTAAAATAATAATAATATAATAATAATTAATATAATAATAATATAATAATAATAATAAAAATATAAATAAATACTTATAACGTTATAAATTCATATTGATGAATATCGAAAAATTTTTTCAGACACAATACAAATTAGATTTGAATATAAAAAATCCAATTTGCCCAAAGAACATAAAAAGATATGTTCACAAAGAGTGGATAATATTAACAAATAGCTTTATAATTATCTTAATTACAATAATTAATTTAAATCGCGATATTTACGTTAAAAATTACTTACTAATAATTCTTAAGTTTTAAGACAATAAAAGAAGAATTTATACTACTTAAAAAAGTAAAAATAATTTATATGTATATTGGTAATATGTATATCTGTATTCTTATCGATTTATTACGTACAATCTTTTTTGCAATATGTTGTTTCATACTCATTAATTTAATTTATAAAAATTAACGAGTAAATTTTATCGAACATTGTATCGAGTTTTTCGAAAAATTTATAATAAAATTAAAGAGACAAGAGAGTTGCAAAATCAATATTTTATGGAATAATATTTATCTAAAATATTATTGTTTGTATATTTATTTATATAGATCAATGATTACTACATTATGATATAATGATTTTTAGCTTAATTTAAATTTATTTTGTTCCATTAATACATTTTGTAAGGATATCCTAGTGACTTTTTCTCCCTATTACTCAATTCAAAGGTAGTATTATTAATCATTTCGTGGTAATAAATTTGTACTAAAATAAATATTGTGTTAAAACTTTAAATGACCTTGATCTTCACGTACATTTTCAAAGTCATCTTCTTGAATTCTTCAGAAGAATATAATATTACTGGCAAGTAAAACGTACCATTTTAGCATTAGTAAGTTAGGTTAAGTGGTTAGATTGTTAAGATCACTTTTCTGATCTTCAGAAAATTTTAATCATCGTTCGTTGTTTGTTAAAAAGTGACAATTAAATATTTTGAAAATATGTTCATTCATCCTTGCTAATTTTTTAATTTTTCTTTTGTACAAAGGAATGGAGGATCATAAGATTAAGAAAGAAAAGTCGTAATTGGAAAAGCAGAATAATCCTTTTAATTTAAATAGAAGATATCAAGGAATCTTGTTTGGAAGACACATCGTGAAAAATTAATAGGGATGATCAAAATTTCCTTTTGAAACAATGTACCAAATATTATAAATATCAAGTAAGCAATCGCAATAAAAGAGATTATTCATTTCTGGAAGATTAAATTGTTACAAAATAAATTGCAGATAGAGTTTCCAAGTATGACATATGTACAATGTATTACGCGATAAACATGTTACCTTACTTAACGGAATCTCATGTAAATATTCTGTTTAGCTATTGCGATACTCATTGTTTGGACACGGTGCATACAGTCCTGAAAATGTTGCTTAGCTCTTTACTATCGTAAATACGGTTGAAGAGCACATTGTCAGCTTCGTTTCACGTGTCGAAATCTCTAGAAGTTATACAATGGATAATCAAACTGATATCAAGAAATCAAGACAATTTGAAAAGAAAAATCTCGTTCTTACGATTCAAGTTATTATCTCGATAATAATTATGGGCAAAAAAGTAAGTAAAAGTTTCGACTTACATATACCTGGAATAGATATAATTAGATATTAATTAAGAAAAATCGAAAAGAACTTTCAGATTAGGAAAAGATATTTCTTAATGATTATGAAAATTTGTGAATATTTCGTGTTGACACGAGAATTTCTCAAACAATTTGATTTGATTAATGACACGATTAATAAACTGTTACTCTGTTGTCTTCATCAGCAAGTCATCTTTAAGATTTGCAATCCTGATTGTCCAAAATAAGATACGCATAAATTACAATTATTACAACATATATCACAAGAGGAATCGTAAGAAATGAAAATAGATCGAGATACAAAGAGATGGAAGCAATTAGGTTATAATCGAAATGTTAAATCATTAAAGAGAACATTATAGAAGCAGTTTAGATCTTGGCCTTCAAAAGTTATTTGTAAGATTGCATAAAATGCATTTGACATCGTGCGATCTGAATTTCGAGTAAACTTTGTAGATAACTCTAAAATACACACATTTAAATCATATTTTCTTAAAACTCTTGAAATTGTAAAATTTAGTTACGCGTCTATTGGAAGCTCACATGATTATAAAATACAAATGTATTCTTACAGTAATTACACAAAGATTTTAATGAGCATTCTAAATGATCATCTTATGTTTAATATCTCCAATTGGAAAATATTTCTTAAATATTGAATGTATAAATAAATGAATTTATTATCGATAAAAATTCATTCATTTTCTATATATAAATGAATGAATAAATTCTTTGATAATAAATAAAAGTCATTATAAAAATTAATTCAATCAATATTATTCCAATAAATTGGATAAAACATTTTACAATGTTTCACAAGAGCAAGCAATTCTAGCAATATCTTTGTCATTAAAATGAGTCATAATGTTTCGTATAAAAAAATCTTAGAACTAGAAAAAAAAAAGATAGTTTTGTGAAATTTGAGAAAATTCTTGAGAAATATTATATATAGATCGGTATAACGGAGAAACTGTTTTCAATTTCGGATAAATGTGTCGTTGATATCGGTGCATAATGAAATAAGCATCGGTAAACCAACGTATTTTAATCAAAGTAATCTAAAGCAATTAGAAATCCCGTGATACCTGCTGTTTTAACTGCGTTATCGAGTTTAGATCGTATCGTGACAGGGCCAATTGCAAAACACATCTTAACACGTACGATTTACTCATACTTGTACCATACGTGCATAAAGCCTCTATCTACAGGACAGGAATTTGTAATAATATCTTTCTCTTTCTTCTTTTCTTTTTTCTTTTTTTTTTTTTAATATCCAAAATATTTATTTTAACATTAAAACCAACTATGAAGAAAGAAACGAAAAATTCAATTATTCGTTTTATTCGAAATTTAGATAAGAATAAATTTAAAATAATCTTCGTTTTTAAAAAGTAATTTTTTTTTTTTTAATTTTTTAAAACTCATCGTAATTGTTTAAAATTTTATTTTTCAATCAAAATATATTTATATCAAATGTATAAAATAATAAATGTATAAAATAATTAAGAGACATTGACGAAAATTTAAATATTAACACAATGATAAAAATAACAAAAATAACATGGATTCATTTTTCTTCAGTTTTCCTGGCTTCTAAAGCATTCAATATTTTGTGTATTAAAAAAAAGATTTGGCAAGGAGAAGATAAATATGATACTCTTATAAGTAACAATATACAAAAAAAAATTCCATACAAGAACAACAAATTTCCGCTTATTATTTCCACGCAAAATTTAATCAAAATTTAATGTCTCATCCTCAATTTTATCTGCACTCATCTATATCCTTTCAGAATCCCTCGTAAATGCACAAAAATACACACATCGTACAAAACAATGAATAATAATATCTGATCTGATCGTCCGCTATAATCAGGCAGGTAAGAAAGAAAGAGGGAGACAGAGGAAGACTTATATCTTATCTACAGCTAGGAGAACAACCAACCACCTAAAAGAGAGGAGATATATGTCGAGGCGACAATCAATTTTTTAATCAGTCGCTCTCCTCTCCTAGGAGCATCGTGTTTGACTTGACCAATTCGAGAAAGAAAAAAAAGTGACATCGAACATTATTATTATTATTATTATTATTATTATTATTATTATTCCAGATACGATTCACCAACCGGAATAATAGAATTGTCGTCGGAAGGAAGAGATTAACTTTGAAAGGAAGAGAATCTCAAAAAAAAAAAAAAAAAAAAAAAAAAAGAAAGAAAGAAAGAAAGAAAAAATCCTTTCAGCCAGAATTCAAGGAATCTAGTTCGATTAAGGTCGACGTAATCGGACGAGATTTCGTAATCGAGTGAAGAAGGGGTGAAGAAGAAGAAGAAGAAGAAGAAGAAGAAGAAAAAGAGGAGGAAGGAGAAGGATTCCGCGAAGGAACAAGGATCCCTCGGTGGAAAATCATCGTCGATATTCGCTTGGGCGATAAAGACGGCGATCGAATACCACCGAGTGTTTACCAATGAACGTAGCGTACGGTGGTTGCGGACGAGGACAAAACCGTGGAACACGCACGAGGAACAGACAGTGCTGCGTTTTGGCGACCGGGGTCCTCCAGATTCTCGGTTTCTCACCACCGACACTACCTGACTTCATCACTTCTCGAGAGACCGACGTAGATCTTCACAACGTAATCGTTAATCATGGGTAGGTTCGAGTTTTCGAGATCGTCTTGAATATATAGGATTTGGCTATGATGATGACGATTTATATGATATATATTTGGAGGAATTTGAAGAAAGTATAGAAAAATGTCGGTTGAGGATTGTTTGTTAAGTTATTGGCGATTGAAGTTTGCATTGGAGGAAACGAAATGCAGACAGAATAAATTTCATGAACAAATAATCACATTACAAAATAATTCATAATATCGTACTATTAATTTACATGACTACTTCATCATCTACCAAATTTAATAATATTATTAATAATAATAAAAATATCGATTATTCGATTAATCATTTAACGTCAAAAATTCTATTTATTAATCGATAATAATAAAATCGATACATTAATATATTATCTCTCCTTTCAAAAATAGGAAAAAAAAAGAAAAGGGGAAAATCAATATTTTAAAATGCTAATAAATCTTATTCTCTTCAACAGGGCTCGACTTCTTGGCAGACGGAGGTGCCGATTTCGAGCATGCAATCACCGTAACAGGTAAATTTATAATTTCTTTAACTGATTAAATAGAAGATACGAGATATTCGATTTATCGAGAAAATTGTCAAAAATTTTATCGGGATAAAAAAAAAGAAAAGATTGATTGAAATATCTTTAATCGATCATATTTATAAAAATAATTCTGTTTACATGATTTCTTCGACAATTTTTCTATTTTGGAATGTCGATTGATCATCGTCGTATCGTATGATTTGTGAGAAGAGATTTTTATCTTGATTTCGAGTCGGTTCCAAATTAATTCATTGTAAATTAATTAAAAATATATTACATTTATTTCTATATTTTCATTTAATTTTTCTTATTTTAATTCAATATATTTTATTATATTAAATTAATTAAATTAATTTTATTTTTTAATTTAATATCTGAAAATTTTTTATTATTTTTTATATGTTTCAAAATTTAATAAATTCTTATATTACTTCCTTATATTTTCAAATCTTTTTTTTTTACAATTGACTTAAAAAATTCAAGTATTCTCGACAAAATTAACGTTATTATTCGTCATTAAAATAATCATCACTAGATAGAAATATGATTAGCGTTATATTGATATTTTATATTTATTCTATCTTTTATTATTTTTATTATATTTTGATTATATTTTAATTATGATCATTTAAAGTATTAAAGGAAAGATTCAAGCTATTTTTTTAATCCAATAAATAAAGTTCAAACAAATGGAATTTTACTGGGCAAGCTAATTTCAACCAAGTTCAAAGTTTTTCTTCTTTAAAATTAGTTTAGTCACGATAACAATTCGTATGAAATTGTGTGAGTATTTGAATAATAAGATCATAAAACACGAATCATAGATATAGAACACTGAAGATCAAGAACAGTGTTTTATTTACAATGCTTTCTTATCGAGTATAAAATTCGCATATTTTATTGATATGCTGACTCACTCCACGATTACGTATTTAATTTTGATCTAATTATCTTACCATAACTACGATGAATATTAATTACTATTTTTAATTAGAAGGGAAGAAAAATATTCCTGTCAATTAAAAAAATTAGAAATTAATGCATTTTATGGCAATATCATTTGATTTGAAGATCATGAAAGAAAATTTCAAAGCATGAATTAATCAAAAATTATATTTGTACATCTTAAAAAAATATACTTGGATTAAATCGATTGGAGATAAATGGAAAAATTTATAAAATTCTATAATGATCTTAGAAAAGTAAATACTTTAATGGATTAAAATTATCGAATTCAAAATTATCATATATTGATCAAATTGGATAGGAATCTTTTAAAAAGCGTTATCATTGATGCCAAAAAATTTAATCTCCGTCTAAATTTAGAAAATCTGCCAACTATTTCAATCCAGACATATGTATAAATATAATTTTAAAATTATTCGAGTCGAGGAAAAAAAATTGTAAATTTGTCGAGACAAGGGAAGCAAACAACATGATTTTATCTTTTCTACGCGATGAATGCAATTCGTTTGTGATGGAATAAAAAAAAAAAAAAAATTTGCAACGAATAATTGTTGACTCTCGAAAGATTTGACGAAGGCTCCCAAGGTGAATCAAACTCCAAAAAATTTCTTAATTGCTAGCACTTATAAATCTTTTCTTTCTTATTTACTTCGAAATGATTCTTAAGAAGATAGCGTTAAATATTTAACGCTATCTTCTTAAGAATCATTTCGAAGTAAATAAGAAAGAAAAGATTTACAAGTGCTAGCAATTAAGAAATTATTTGATGTTTGATTCGCGTTGTAAGCCTTCGCCAAATCTTTCGAGAGTCAACAATTATTCGTTGCAAATTGTTTTTTTTTTTTTTTCATCAAACAAAAAATTTCTTTAATCGGTGAAAAAAAAAAAAAAAATTTGCAACGAATAATTGTTGACTCTCGAAAGATTTGACGAAGGCTTACAACGTGAATCAAACATCAAATAATTTCTTAATTGCTAGCACTTATAAATCTTTTCTTTCTTATTTACTTCGAAATGATTCTTAAGAAGATCGCGTTAAATATTTAACGAATCGTATTTTTCTCACGTCAAGGATTCGGCAAATTTCATTATATGCTGTTGACAATCTGCGGATTAATTTACATGGACACCGCCATCGGAGTCACGATACTCTCCTTCGTGTTACCGGCAGCGCAATGCGACTTGGAAATGGATTCCACCGCGAAAGGGTGGTTAACGGCATCGCCAATGTTGGGTGAGTATTCACTAAAATTGCTAAATTAGGGGCATTAACTTATGGAAAAAGTAACTAGTTAAAAATTTCGAATAAAATAAAATTAAATAACTTTATTCAAAATACTTGGATAAAAAATTATTTGTATTATAATTAATCTGTTATATTTTATAATCTTTGTTTGTCAATTATCTGCAAAATTATTTAGATGCTTTGAATAATAAATTATTGAAATAACTTATTGAGGTATTTTTATTCTTTAAAATATTCAACTATTAAAATGTTGCTTATTTCTGGTTGAAAGTTATATAAGATGTTTGAAATATGGGAACATCGATTTATTGGAATTTTTTGAGCTAATTTCAAACAATATTTTCTTTTGCAAAAATTCTCGACACGGCTTTGTTAACGAGTTATTAATAAAAAACATCAATCACGAAGCGCGTAGATTAGTGGCGCCATGACAGTAGTGATGAGTATGTGCCGCCAACCGAACTTGAACAAACATATCGTCTATCATCGAGTAACGTCAGATTTATGACAGGGTCGATTATGATATTGCTATTTTAGAGATAATCTATTTTTCGGAATTGTTTTATCTACCTGAATCCCGAATGATCAATTAATTAGCGGTGATTATAGTTTCGGAGTCATGAATCACTTTCTAAGATTCAATAGTACTATAAATTTTGGATTTGATGAAACTTTCTGCTGATAATGATTTTCGAAAATTTATAAGTTATTATATTATTTATAAAGTCAATATTCATGTACATTAGAACTTTGTTTTCTTCCTCTTGATTTAATGTTATTTTTTGTTTCACTTAACCATCGAATTTCAGTCAATTCAGTTCACTTTTGATATTTGACTTGTAGATATTAAATATAATTTACAAAAAATTAAAATAATCAGATCTGAAAAAAATAAAATTTTTAGAAAATTTTTAGAAAATTTTATTTTTTATTTTTTTTAACTTTCTGAAAAATTCAAATGTCCAATTTCGATTTTTTTAAAGATCTTTTAATCGATTGATGTATCAAGAAATTTTATTAAAAATTTAAATATAATGATTAATTTAAAATTAAATAATTAAGAAAAAAATCTTTTAACATAGATAATTTTTTGATTCTTTTCTATATATATTTTTTAATTAATCTTATAATTTTTTAATTTTATTTTTTTTATCAAACAAAAGTTTATCAATAATAATTAATTTATTATTCTTCTTTTAAAAAAAGATGTTTTATTATTTAAAATAAAACACTTAAATCATTGATTAAATCTAATATAACAATAATGAATTATTAAAAGATAAGCTCTCTTCGTGAATGAAAATGTCTGACTCGTGTTATATTTTTCTACTTGAATCTTTATCATTGATGCTTCGAAAATACATTGTTTAATACAACATAATAAAGAAATACAAATATCTATTACATGGAACTTTTATTAATAAATCATTGGATTTCTTAAAAAAATTGAATATTTAAAAAAGTCAAAATAACAAAATTTACAATTTTATAAATATAATACTTTTAAACGCATTAAAAATTTCTGAAAAAAAAAAATTTTTGAAAATTTATATTTTCTCATTGTTATTATTATTTATTTCATTATTTATTTGTTTACAGGGATGGTAGTTGGTTCCTATATATGGGGATGCCTGGCTGATATCAAAGGAAGAAAAGTCGTATTAATCGCCACTTTATTAATGGACGGCATTGTAGGTGTCGTTTCCTCTTTTGTCCAATATTTTTGGATTTTTCTAGTGTTTCGTTTCTTTAACGGGTTCGCGTAAGTATTGTGATTAAATATTTTCCTTTGTATTCTTTTATTTTCTCTTTATTATTTTTTATATTCATATAATCAGTGATAAAAAAAGCTACATAAAAGCTTTTCATAAAAACTACAAATTATATATTATTATCAAGAATTATAAAAAATTCTTTTTTTTAATAAAATTTTGTAAATATGTAAAGCATAATGGATTATATATATGGAACAATTTCTTTTTTGTCATTTTGAAGGATAATTGAATAAAGATCAAATTAATTTAATTTAAAGTTTTGATTGCTTTTGGTTAGATTTGATTAGGTGAATATATATAAAACATTCATTCATTTTTTAATCTATTGTTCTATTGAAAAAAAGTATTCTACAGTAAATTTTATCCGAAATATGAAAAAATATTAAAACTTTTAGAAAAAAATTGTTTTATATATAATTCATTATGCTATACATAAGTATAAATTTTCATCAAAACTATAATTTTCGGATTAAATTATTATTAAAGATTATTAAAAATTTTCTTATAAAATAGAAAACTTTTGCCATTGACTATATCATATAATATATAATGTATTATCTTCATTTTTTATTTTACTTCAGATCTTTTTTATTTTTCTTTTCGTTTTATTTCTATTTTTATTTTATACATACAGCGTTACAGGAGCTATGGGAATTTGTTTTCCGTATTTAGGGGAGTTTCAGCCGACAAAGTATCGCGAAAAATGTCTTTGTTGGATGGAAATGTTCTGGACAGTAGGTGTCATACTATTACCATGTAAGTTTTATTATTTTACGATTTAATATAAAATATTTATTTAATGAACTACATTTTCATACTTATGATAAAATGATAAAAAAGAAATTTTAAACTCTCCATTGATACTTTGATATTTGTCAAGATACTGTTAATGTAAAATTATCAAAATGCTACTTCCTTTCTTGCGATATTAAAAAATAATAATAATATATAATAAAAAAATATATATATTCAATAAAATAATCATAATATAATATCGAAATAAAATTAAATTAATTTCTTGTATTAGCAACCTCGATATTCAAATTATGGTAAATTAAAAAATATTCAGATTTAAGACATGATTAAAATGTCGTATATGCATTTTTTTTCATATTTAATTCAATTAATTAATTAATTAATTAATTTATTTATTTTATCCAGTGATCGCATGGCTGATTATACCGATGAACTTCATGTATCTTACGGACACGTTTTACTTTAAGTCATGGAATCTCTTCGTAGCGCTGTGCGCTCTACCCTCGTTGATGTTAGGCCTGTGGCTGTTCGCATTCCCAGAGAGTCCGAAATTTCTTCTTGAATGTGGTGAAACCGATGCAGCACTCGAAGTATTTAAATGGATCTATTCGCAGAACACTGGGGAGGATCCTGACTCTTATCCGGTAATTTAAAATTCATATTCCATATATATTCAGGGTATTAATATAATTATGGAATAGTTTTGAAAAGTCACGTTTAGAGATCTATCTAACAAAAGTTGGTATACAAAAATGTTGGTTGTGAGATTTATTTATTAATGTAATTTATGTGCAAGAAGAAATAAAGTGCAAGAATTACTGTTTTTCTCATTTCGTTTAACATGAAATTCAATTAGTTATAAATAATTTAATAAATAAATCTTAATTGATATTTTTGTAATTTTTGTATTTGTTTCAGTCTTTAGAATCAACTTTTTAAAAATATTTTATAGGTATGAATATGAATGATTCAGAATAATAATCGTGTAACTTTTTATTATTAATTTTTTAAAAATCATATGATTAATATAATTACTTATTATAGTAATTATTTATATAAAGATAATTTATAATTATTTTACAAAAATGTAATCTTATTATTAATAAATTTTAATAATAAAAATAATAAATTGTGTGTTAGATGAGATACACAACTATTATTTTAATATATATATATTAACATCCTGTATTGCATAATTTATAAAAAATCTCAATCATATGTTTTTATTTTTTATTTTTTATTTTTTCTTCAGGTAAAATCGTTGCAAGAGAAAAACAAAGAAAAGAACATGAGATCGTTGAAACTACACAAAAGAAAGGATTTAAAAGTTCTTTTGAAAGAAGTAAAAGATCTAACAACTGCTCTCTGTAAGAAACCGTACCTTAAAAATACGCTACTCGCTTGTGGCATTCAATTTGGTCTCACCAGTAGTTACTATACTCTTATGGTTTGGTTCCCAGAATTATTCACTAGGTACATCATGTTTATATGCAGTATCTTTCTCAAAAGAAAAAAAACAAAAAAAAAAAAGAAAAAGAAAATAAAAAGTAACTATCTCTTAAGATACAATTCATAATTATTACTTTAAAAAAGTACAGATTAAAAAAAATACATTGTATTTTGATAAGAGAAAATTTTGAATTTTCTCTCAAAAATAAAATTTCATCAATATCAATTTAAATATTAATTTTTCTTTGAATAAGAAAAAATTATTAAAAATAATTAATAATTTTGTTTGATAATTATAGATTCGAACAATTTGAACATGAAAATCCGAATAAAACTACATCGGTTTGTATAGTATCTGCTTTGTCCAATAATGGAACTCAAATCGACGCTTATGGATGTGATACCATAATAGCGCCTTCTGTTTATCTTCACACGGTTTACATAGGACTCGCCTGTATACCTGGTTCCATTATTTTACCGATTTTCGTGCACAAACTTGGTGCCAAGTTCTTTTTGAGTATGTATATCATAATATATATAAACATAATATGCAATTCTTTAAATTATAATGTGCATGTTTGATAAATATTATTATAATAAATCATTTTTTTTCTAAACTTTTTATAAATGAGTACAATTTTAAAATGATTTTTTTTCATATAATAATACATTCCATAACCTAAAAGAAAATATTTGAAAATCAATGGATTTTTTCAAAATCTTTATCAAAATGTAAATAAAAAGATATATCAAATATGAAAATATGACAAATCCTAATGTACTATTTGATAGACAAAAAAAAAAAAATAAAAATTAAAAATAAAAAAATAATCATTGCAAAATTAATGTTATACTGATATTTTATTTTATATAAATTAACTGTATATATAAATTTCAGTTATGTCACTGTTAGTTTCTGGAGCAGTAACGATTGCCTTCTATTATGTCGTTAATTCGACACAAAATTTGATATTATCCTGCGTGTTCGAGGCTCTGACATCTCTCGGTATCTCACTGGTTTATTGCGTAATCGTCGACATGTTCCCGACGAATCTCAGGTAAGCAAATCACTCAGAATATCGTCTGATTTATTTATTAGGAAAACAAGCAAATACTACTGTCAAAAAGATTTACAACCATTTCTGTAACTAATTACTTGATGACAACCGAGGACAAAACAATGGTATAACAGTAAACGATGTATTTGCACGAATTTTAATCTTATAATTTCACAGTTTATCTAATTGCATCGTTACGTCAGTTTGTTGCGATGCATAAAATAAGATACCAATAATTAATATATGATACCATCGAATAGATTGTAAAATGGAAAAAATTTATTTCATAGAAATTGCGTTGTTATGATAAGATGGATATAATCAATAATTTAAAAAAATGTATGAAAAAAAATTATTTCTATGTTTAATAATATCGCAGGTTGAAATTAATATCGATCGTACGTTTACATAAGAAAATTGTATACATACATGCGTAGTTTCATATACTATTGAAATTTTTCATAAAAAAGACAAATTGAAAATGAAGAATAAAATTTTAAAAATATATCAAGTATACGATATTTCATTTACAATTTTTTCTCAATCAATTTATATTTTCGTATGGAATTTTTAATTATAGATTTTTGTTTGATATTTTTTTCAATTATTTTTTCTTCCATCTAAATTTTATTTTATAAAAAATTTTAAATAAATTTTAATTTATAAAATATTCAAAAAATTAAAATATTTATTGCATTATGATAAAATAACGAAATTTTATTTAAACAAATTTTATTCTTTATATTAAAATTGTTTCTTTATAAAAAATTATAACCTCTTCGATAATACATGTATGTATGCAGATCATATACATATATTTATATTTGAAGAAGTAGTTTATTTTTATTTCATCAATGTTTCTTTCAGAAAACAAATTATTTAATTTTTAGAGTAATGGCTGCGGCTTTATCTCTCACCATGGGTCGATTAGGCGCACTAGTCGGTAATTTAGTGTTCGGCTACCTAATTGACTTAGCCTGTGTGATTCCTATAGTTTTATTTGCAGCATTTTTATTCGGTAAGTTATTTAAATATTAAGAATTCTTATTAAAAAAAATATATTAAAATATTAACA